GCCAAGTGGTGTTTGAAAATATTAACACCTGTTTTATGGCCAGGAAGGGTAACCTGTTCTTATTATTTTTATTTCAGTTTTGATACTGGCAAAAAAGGTACCATAAATATGGAACTTTCCATGTCACCCTGCATCCATGCAAACAATAACACGAAAATCGACAATAACCAGAAAAACGGTGGCTATGTCATCAACTTTAAAGAGAGCAAAGTGCATTACGTTACTGCGATAAACAGCCCTAACACCATATACAGACGCGTGCAAAGGATAACACTAATTCTGCTACCGTCAGTGAATCTACTGAGAAGCTTATTCCCCTTGATGCGTAAGAGGATTGCAGATGACGCTAATCTAGCACGAGCGAGGATCTTAGCACGCCGCCCACTCTTCGTGCTCCTCACAGTCTCATAACTGTACTGTTCCATCTGCCAAGAGAACCTTGTGTTATTATTGAGAAAACTAGCTGTAACGTGTACGGCCCTTTTATCGATCCAATGCTGGACGGGGGCCTTTCTTAAGCCTGTGCAGGTCATGAGTGTTATTTGTCCATACTTTACCACGCTGGTCAATGCGGGGAGCACAGACGTGGAAGCATAGCAACACATTACAACAATAGTTCTGGAAAAAAGTGGTATACCCTACAGATAATGAATAAATGTGCGAGGAGCAGAACCACAATGCACGGGCAGCAAGACACATTGTGCCCATGCAATGGAATGTAACGATGTGGAAATTCTCATATTAAGCTCACAAACAACAAAACATTGAATCGTACCCACGATAATCTCTCCACTTAGGGTCGTATAAGTTGCATGCTGCTATATATTGTTAAATAGAGTGGAATCGGCAAGCAAATTGAATCGTGACCCTCCATTGCCACGATGACAATGATAACATTTGAATGCGCGTACAGTTCTGCGGACGCCAAGCAAATTACAATTGCATAGGGGACAACATTATGCATTGTCACACATTGTATGTATGTATGTTGAACTTTTTTCTCACCGCTAATCGGAGGTGCGGGAAATCGGAGGTGGGGGAAATCGTCACACATATATTGTTGTCGAACATCCACTGGCGTGGATACACCATCACGATTCATCTCTCAAGTCAGCGCCAACGGTACACAATCGAAAGGTGGAATGTGCGTAAAAGCCTTCGCACAAAAGTACCGTTGAGCTCAAGCAACTCGGCCGTAACCAACACCAGAGGGGAGCGACCGGCGGCCATCTGTTGACGAGCGAACGATTGCCAAGGCGGAAAAAAAGAAGTGGTGGGAGATTAATAGGAGACGGCCCTGAAAGTTAACAAAATATAATACAACGCGCTTTTATCGCCTCAAGGCAGGTATTGCGATCTCCAACACTGCTGAACAACAGATAGTCAACCTTAATTTCAAGCACATGCTAGGGGGGGGCGAGCCATACTTTTTAGCAATAAAGCGTGCTGTGCTTTTTGCCCCGTTATAAATAACATTTAATTAACCACCCCCACCCCCCACCACGCATCGTTTTTTGCGTGAATGTTCTCATTAAATAGCTGCATTTGACCCCTCGTGCCTCATACGCCCCGTGTAAGGACCCTCACCAGATTTATAATGCAGCCCTCTTGCTTAGCGAGTGCTGGACGAAGACGTCCGCGCACACCCGTTGCTGGTTATGGGGGGGGGGGGGGGGTTATTGGTTGTCCATACTCCACCGCACGGGTCTACGCAGGTTGGCTAAATGGGGTGGTGGAATCGGGAGCGGGTTCGAACATCGCTCGCCGCCGATGTTGGAGCACGCGGGTCGCCAGGTTCACGGCGCAGTGTTCCAACACCCGTGCCACCCACACTACCCAACCACCCTACCCCAAGCAGGGAGCGGCACTGTGCTGTACCCCAAGGTGCAGCGACGCAGAAATGAATCAATTGACCCGACTGTTTAAAGCTCACGGAAAACATAAATCAAATCGCGCGCGCGAGAATCGATGCGTCTGCGTATACGCACTTTGGATTGAATGGGTTGACATGAGGTAAAAAAAATAAAATACGTGTATGCGCGTAGTTCAATCGCAACCACTCAGATTTTCAAGCGGGCAGACGCATCACGCGTTTAATATATACGACTCGTATACAAACCCTGAATGTTTGCACATGAGCAGCAGGTAAAAAACCATAGCCTAGCCTGCGAAGTGTTGTGATGCCGTAATTACGTCCGCAAGAATGCGTTATGTGACAGCTCGCACAGCGGGTGCATAATGCATAGGCGCGCACGTATAGCGTTGCAGGGCACATGTCTGCGGCACTCACAGAGGAAATCATTACGTGACGGGACCCTATTCAATACAAGCGCATCAATAGTAGCTTTACATATTTGCCCTCAATTGAGCATCAAGCAGCGAGCAGCGAGTAGGTTGCTAGCTCATTGGGGGTCCCCTCGGGAGATATCATGTTCGGGGGGGGGGGGGGGGGGGGGGAGGTGGCAGTCCACTTAAAATTTCTAAAATCCTAGATGAAAGGAGAGGTAGATGGAGTGACATAAGAGGAACGCAAACAAGAAACAATGATGCGGGGAAAGAGATGCAGGCAGAGGAGAGTTTTTGCCCTTCATATTATTTAGCTACTCACGTTCGCGAGGGCTTTATTGTTTGAGATTATATTTCGTGCACCTTTCGTTTCATCAATCCGCACGCCCCCCCCCCCCCCCGATGGCCCCAGCCCACCTTGAGGTGCTTAGGGCCCCCCCCCCCCCCAGCTTTTTGCGTGGTTCGCTGACCGTTCTCCCTTCGATTTCTGCGAAAAACGACACGAGGCAGCCGCCACATGCCGGTTTGAGTGGTTGGATCGTTGCCAAGCCATGCAGGAAACGTGAGTGGCCTCGGTTGCGTGGCGACTGCACGGGGGAGGTGGTTGGGACGAACCACAGAGATGGCCGTGGCACAGTGGGTCCAAGGTGGGGCTGAACGATTAATCGATTCCAAATCGAAACGGCAATTTCAAAACAATGCGGTTAGCAAATCGCAAAGGCTGCGATTTTTTTGCGATTTGAAAAGTCCTGTTACTTTCTTATTGGAATTGTTTTATTTTGTATTATTATAACTTTCTTTATTTAACTTAACAATTGTTATATGTTTGATTGTTCTATTTCAATTAAAACATTTTAATAAATACATGTTAGAAGCAATTAATATATTTAAAGTTCTCATCCTTGCATTAGAATATATAGAGCAGTTCATTTTGATGGTATCATGTGGTAATGCTCCATAACATGTTTTAAATCTATTACACAGTGAATATTGAACTAAAGCTTGACTTTTGATTTAAAGCTTTCGTGACTGCAGGGATTCATATTCATGGTTCTTTCGGTAAAGTCACGTAGAAGGGAAACAATACGTGACTTTACCGAAAGAACCAAGAATATAGAACTTGACTTTCAAAAATGTATTCGCAAATCAAATCGCAATACCTGTAAGAAAAATCGGAATTCGATATTTTCCCCAAATCGTTCAGCCCTAGTCCAAGGTGGGCCGAATTTTCTCCGCACCCAGTGTGCCTTGGAGAAGAGTCCAGATGTGGGGCGCAAAAGGGCACGGTGTTATTAGGGTTGGTCTGTCGTCGTCGATGATGACGATGATGACGACGGCCAGCGGAATCTTGGTCGAGTCTTTGCCATGAAGATGAAAAAAAATTATTCCGGCTAAAAACTGAGCGCCCAGTGTTAACTTGGTGTGCGGTTAGTCAGCATTTAAATTAGTTATTAAAATTTAAAAATGTTGACGAAATGAAATCCACAGACTTGGGAGTCAAATTCCGCAGGTTGCCATCGACGCGGCGAAGAATAAAAGACGTCAACTGCCGATTAAATTAGCCCCGGCCACTAATGAAGGCACGTTGTACGAGACGTTGATTTATGCACGTGTACTTGTATATGCACAGCATCTTTGTCAATCCACTGCTGGATGAGGGCCTCCCCACAGTTGTTGAAGCATGCTTTGCCACCCTCCTTGGTGTGGTTTGGTGGATGCCAGAGGGGCATAGATATGGGGGCACGGAGGTACAATACATTGGACATTGCTGCACTGTCTTTTTGCTGTCATCTACACAGCACCGTAGTGCTGTACTTCTTTATTTTCACGGGTATTTGCAGATAACAGAATGTGCCAATTGCACCCTTACATCATGGCGAATAAGATGAGTTCGACTGCATAGTTGATTTGGTTCTATGGGTAGCAAAAGTGGGTAAGACAGCTAAAGAAGCATGGTTACATAAACCTGCACCCGATCTCTTTGACACAAACACTGGAGCAACGTCAATTCTGGCCCCCTCTGTCGGAAAGCGCCACCGCAACTCCGAAAAGAGCAAAGGAGCGACAGCCAGAAGAAGTGGCAGCGAGGGAGAGAAAGACGGCAGGATGATCTCACACACTGGGTGTGGCGAGCTTGTGTGTATGTTGAACTTATTTCGCACCATACGTAGCCAACCGTGCTATTCGGAGGTGCGGGGGAAGAACAACAAACTAAACACAAAAAGCAGTTAAATTTTGATTTAAAGCTTTCGTGACTGCAGTAATTCATATTCTTAGCTCTTTCGGTAAAGTCACGTTTGTGTTATGGTCGAAACGTCGTGAGAATTTTTATTGTTTTATATATATTTTATTATTTTATTGTTTCCCTTCAACGTGACTTTACCGAAAGAGCTAAGAATACAAAAAGCAGTTACAAAGAAATGAGTTTTGAATCTAGAATTAAAAGTGCATAGCTCCATCGGCTTCCTAATATCGGAAAGGAAGGGCATTCCAGACGGCCGCAGAAGCGCATCCGAGAGAGCACGCGATGCAGTGACCACCTTCGTTCGATGGCCAGCCAAAACAAGCTTGGCATGGGGCCCCTGGCGCTTGGAATAAAATTGCGCCTTCTCCGCACCGATTTCACAATTATTGAGCAGCCGGAGGGGACCGTGCGGGCTCCCCAAGTGCAGCCAGAGTGGCCACGTGCCCGATAGCCGTGCCAAGGTCCTCACCGCCACGATCTGCTGCAGGAGCCGTTGGTTCTGCTCGCTGAGCTCGCGCAGCGCCCGCGACTTCTCACGGTCAGTCTCCAGGCTGCCCTGCTGCTTCCTGTCCAGCTCCTGGCGCACGTGGGCCAGCTCCACCTCCAGCTCGGCGACGCGGCCCTCCCACTCGCTCTCCCGCACCTCCAGCCGCCTCACCGCACCATGACGCTCTTGCTCCAGGCGCTGGGAAAGTCGACGGGACACGGGGGGGGCGTTTGCAAAAATTACTCACAGGAGTCACGTGGCAATCGCAGAACCCCCCGCAGGAGTTTTCGCGGTTTGCGTTGTGAAGCTCTCCGTTGTATTTTGGGGTTGTCGTTCGGCGTGGCCTCTGACGTTTGGCTCCATACGCTGGGTGGCTTCTTCGTCGGGAGCGGAATTTAGTTCCCGAAGAACTGTGGGGTGGGGGGGGGGTTATGATGATCAATGAGCAGTGCTCGTCAAAGCATCAGCAAAGGCAGGGAGAGAACCAACAGCAACACCCACGTTGCAAGCATTCTTTTCACAAAAAGCTGAATTCACTTCCTCAAGAAAGCACCCATTACGTGGAGCGAAGCGTCAGACATCGTGCTGAACAACACGTGGTACAAAACCAAAAACCCATCTGAAGGCTACAATTACAGAACGTTTACCCCGGTTTTCCATCCGACTCTTAATATCAGAAAAACTAGATCATTTATTCAAATAGAAGTTATTTTTAGGAATTTGAAATAACAGATGAACAAAAATGTCCTTCCAAAAACATATCCTACGTGATAAGATGAACAAAAGTAAGTCCTCTATATTTCGTTCTTCAAAAAAATATTAATTTTGGATGCAGTGAATACATTTTTATTTTAATAGGTTACACGTGACAAATTTATATTCAATTGCAGACGTTACAATCGTGAACAAACTGTAAAAACACCTTGTCATCTTCGGCTAGATTCTCTCGCACAAAGTGCTGTACATGTTAAACCACAATTTTAGGACGAACACGGAGGGCTGCAATATAGGAGACCTAGGATGTTCATTTGTGTGACTATGATAAGTCTCAGTCATATTTCGATTGAAAGCTTTCGTGACTGCAGGGATTCATCTTCTTGGTTCTTTCGGTAAAGTCACCACGTAGAAGGGAAATAATACAATAACAAAAATAAAACATAATAAAATAAACTTCTCACGACGTTTCGGCGCTGCCTTTCCGACAGCTCTGTTTCTTCACCTGAGGACGGCTGCTTGTGTTGTGGCCGAAACGTCGTGATAATTTTATTTTCATTATTTCCCTTCTACGTGAACAAGAAGTCTCAGTCATATTTACAGTGACGATGTCATGTTTACACGGCAATGTTGCCTAGATTCGCACCAGTTGTTAACCTCTTTTTTTCAGCGTTTCTGATGATCCCTCAGGAGGTGCACTTGTTAACACGGTAAACACCCACACACAGGAGGAAGGAAGTAGCACGCAGCTTTGATGCAAAGACGCCCAAGTTCATTAGTCAAAGGAAGGATTGAATGCACCAACCACAATTGTGTCATCCAGTGGCCATCTAACACACACACACACGTCACACACACACTAGCAACAAAACACGAAATGTAAGCACATTGTGCATGCACACTAACGGATGCCAAATATTTGATGAGATCATTTACGTTGGTTCATTGACGGGGTGATGTGGGTTTTAGCTTTCGTTTCATCTGAAATTCAATCGGAGATTCAAAAAGTGTCGTGTTCATTTTTTTTTTCAAGAGTTGTGAAGTTATGTTATACCTGGGACCCCCCCCCCCCCTTCCTCCTGTCCCCAACTTAGCTTACCGTCACTGACCAGTGTGGTGAAGTATGGTCAACCAACCTCCACAAGAAGCCCTGCATGACGATGTCATAATCCAGTATTGTAGTGGATTGACAAAGGGGTCAAAATTATTGCAGTTCAGTGGTATTTTTAACAGTTATCTATGATGTAAGTTAACGTTTCTTCTCTGGAATTAAGTGCTTACTAACCCAGTTGCAATCTGTGTTAAAAAGTAGGAATTAACAAAAAATACTTGTTTACAGTATTTTCAATTGGCAAACGCTGTTATTTAATTACAAACTGAGAGAAGCTGCCCATTGGTTATCTTAAAAAAAGTTCGTAAATTTCAGTGAATCATATTAACATACTGCATTGCCTAAACTGTCACGACGTAAGATCATTCAGATAAAGAATAACAATCCGGATGACGAAGACAACTCGTAAAACATTACCCCAACTTTAGGGAGTCAGTCAACTTATTTCAGGCCATGCCCATTGAGCCTAAGCAATTCTTTTATGATGGCATCTGAGCAGATCCGGGGGAATACCTTGCAACACAAAGCCTTTACAATGATGTACTGTAACAATGTTAATTCACTGTACTGGCAAAGATTCGTGAAATATAATGCATCTTAATGACAGATTGTGTCAGATAAAAACAAATAATTCCATCTCACACTAAATCTATCCAAAGTGAGTCGGCCAGTTTCTAGTGGGGGTACAGCTGTGGGTATGGAACATTGTTAATGAGTCCGTTAACATTTTCCACAATAGGTTATTTAGTGATATGTATTACTAACTATTAATAGAGCTCAGTAGCTCACCATGAAAACGAGAATGGTTAAACAAAACACTAGTCCACTCTCGTAATTGTGGAGGAGTGCCACACAGATGAAATTTTGGCTGGTTTTAATTGAATTAAATGGACAATCGTGAAGGATAAACACTCAACGATTCTGTATGAACACAACATCATGAACAACGGTGAGGTACTGCATCTATCTCAGGGACGGGTCAATTGCTCGCCTTCCATCCCTCACAATCTTCACCTTCAAACATTAGTTTGTTGTCCCCCCCATCACCCCCAATTAGCACGGTTGGCTACGTACGGTGCAAAATAAGTTCAACGTATAGGCATAAAAAACCCCACCACTCCACACTGAATTACATTATTGAGCTATGCAACTAAGCGAAGGAGAGTTGAGGTTTCCCCTCGTCTTCCCCAACAGTTTTTTTATGTGACACCATTCCCAGGACGTAGAGATTAATTTATACTTAACAATAACGTGGTTATTTGCACTGCTGGATGTCCCACTACGATATTAAGGAAAACATGCATAAACAGCAAAAAATGGAAAATGAATATTACAGCACTGTAACTGGAAGCATGACAAAATACAACAATTACTCTTGGTTCTTTCCCTTCAACGTGACTTTACCGAAAGAACCAAGAATATGAATCAATGCAGTCACGAAAGCTTTGAATCAAAACAAAATACAACACGTTAGTGCGGCTTCAGACACACACACTACAGCGCAGTGCTGTCACGTGTTTTTTTTAGTTTATGATACAATGCTCTGAATCTGTAAATTACGTGTTGTTATGATTTATGATTGCAGGACTGTATGTGTATACCTGTTACGTTTGTATATTATTGTACTATCAAAGTCTCCCTTGAAAAAGATAAGTTTAGCCTCAGTGGTGTATCGCGTGGTTATAAAGGAAAACAATCTGCACTGACCAGCACGGTGTAGTAGGGCCAACTATACACAGCAACAAATTAATGACGAATTGCAGTGGATTAACAAAAGGCTGCAAATTATGATTACGTAATTACGCACGCTATTGCGAAATTATGCAACACTGCCCCCGAAGTTGTATTTTAAATTCGGCAAACTCTTAAACCGTTGGCGGAATTGCAATTCAACACAATGGCTGTGAATGTCAGAGAATATTTGCTTCCGATTTAAAGCTTTCGTGACTGCAGTGATTCATATTCTTGGTTCTTTCGGTAAAGTCGCGTTGAAGGGAAACAATAAAATAATAAAAATCTATATATAAAACAATAAAATTCTCACGACGTTTCGACTGTAACACAAACAGTCATCATCAGGTGTTTTCATTAGGTGTTTTCACACCTGATGATGACTGTTTGTGTTACAGTCGAAACGTCGTGAGAATTGTATTGTTTTATATATTTTATTATTTTATTGTTTCTCTTCAACGTGACTTTACCGAAAGAACCAAGAATATAATATTTGCTTCGTTAATGAACTACGGTAATACTTTACTACCCCTTGTCAACTCCAACATGACGGCCTGCCCCCGCCGTATTGGTCACGGGGAGGGGGCTCGTTTGACCATACTTCACCAATGATGGTCAAAGCGAGTTGAAGGTGGGGACTGGCAGGACCAGTTAAATATAATTCGCAAATTTACGTTACCCATGTCGGGAAATCCAACCGTACGTTGCCCGGTTTATAGGGCAATGCGTTAACCACTTTGCCACACCGCTCCACTCGGCTTAATAATAACCAGTGACATTCACTCGTATCTACTTGTCAATGTTGTCAGTCGCACTTGTGCAACATGACACTTCACAGGCGCTCCTTGTGTGAACCGCACGTGCATATCTGAGGGTTATTAGGAATTTTGATGACCGTATTTCCCTGCAAAGCCAAGAGCCTGTCAGAGGTAACGTATGACTGACACAACTGGGACGTTAAACACAACACTCAACGACCACTCGTACCCCTGGTACGAACAACGTGCCCACAACGTAACAATTTTAGTGTGGACAGCGCATTGCATATATACACACGCGCACGTATTGTCTGTATTATAAGATCACATTTATACCCTCCCCTTACTGAATTTGAAAGCAAAACGTTGGAAATGAACTTTACAAAACCTGGTGCGCGAGACCAAATGAGTACACTTTATAGACACCGGGGCAACGTGCGTGTGAGGTTCATCTTACTTTTAGGAGAATACGTCACACTGTGCTAATGTACAGCCGCGAATGTGCGTGGGCAACATTACTTGTGTACAGTGTAAATGCATCCAGGATACACAAAACGGTCACCATCATCAGCCACGAATTATCCACTGCTGCATGACGGCCTCCCCAAAGCAGTCGCAATTAGTCGCACAACATTACCAACTTTTCGATGTAAAGCTTTCGTGACTGCAAGGATTCATCTTCTTTGGTTCTTTCGGTAAAGTCACGTAGAATGAGAATAAAATAATAAAATAAAACAATAAAATTCTCACGACGTTTCGGCCACAACACAAGTGGCCTTCTTCAGGTGAAGGGACAACTTGTGGGGACGACAGGTTGTTCCAAGTGAAGGAGGCCACTTGTGTTGTGGCCGAAACGTCGTGAGAATTTTATTGTTTTATTTTATTATTTTATTCTCATTCTACGTGACTTTACCGAAAGAACCAAAGGAGAACATTGACCAACCTCCACATCTAGCTGCGGCACACGAGCACAAGTCATTGCTTCATCTCGTGGGTATAGAACAACGTCTGGGGCATGTTCCTCCTGTGGCTGCCACTCTGTCCTTAGTCTTGACTGTCGCCCATCATCCAATTCGAACCACGTGCGCCTCCCTTGGTCGAAACCCCCTTATACTTTCTTTACAGTCAACGTCACGTCTCTCTAACTTGTAATTGCTCTCTAAGCCTTCTCTCGGTTGAATTTCCAAGCAGTCGTCAGAGTACACAGTATACAGAATATAGGAGGCAATGTTTAAAATGTGTACATCCCATCTAAAATTTTTTTTTATCCGTGAAATGTGTTTACGGTAAAGCGTTACCATCATCTACGAGTGGTCCCTGTTCTACACAGCTGTGTACACTATCGACAGTAGGCACGTTGCGCTGCACAGTCCGTCTAAAATTACAGGCACTGTATACAAAATACACAAGGCAGAAAGGTTGCAACGTAACGACGCAGAATGCTCAGAACCGTGCGCGTTTGAGAGTTTTTGGCTGCGATATATCTCCGCACGTGATAAGCCACTTCGTTGAGCTCTCATTTCTGATAGCCAGGTCGCTTCTAAAAGAAAGAGCTACAGAACTCGGTGGGTCTTACCGTGGTAAAATAAAGTAAAAACTATTATAGTAATATAATAGGGTTTTCCCCATTTTTTTCCGGCAACAAAACTTAAACCTTTTTTTTTACAAGGATTCATGTCTGCATTAACCACAATACCTGCAGTCAAAATTCAAACAAAAATAAACATACTATGATAATATATGCATTGTCCTTTAAAGAAAGCCGTCCCTTGGTGTGGACCAATCAGTTTCAAGGACAATGCATATATTAGCATAATGTATTTTGCATTTTGACTGCAGGTATTGTGGTTAATGCAGACATGAATCCTTGTAAAAAGGTTTCAGTTTTGTTGCCAGAAAAAAGGGGAAAACCCCCATTATTACATTTTGGTACTGGCAAAGGAGGTCTAATGAACTATTATAATAGTTTATTGCGCTCAAATACACCATTAGATGTAAGGTTGGTCACTATTAAGCCACTTTCACCACAAACAAAATTCTGTATTTTTTTTACTTAAAACTTTCATGACTGCAGGAATTCATATTCTTAGTTCTTTCGGTCAAGTCACGTAGATAGAAAATAATAAAAAAAGATAATAAAATTAAATGAAAAAATATATATAATACATTGAAAATAATTAAAGCAAAAAACCCACGACGTTTCGATTGCAACACAAGCGGTCTTAATCAGGTGGAGAAGACCGCTTATGTTGCGATCGAAATGTCGTGGGTTTTTTGCTTTTATTATTTTCAAATTATATTTTTTATTTATTTAATCGTATCTTTTCTTTTTATTTTATTTTCAATCTACGTGACTTTACCGAAAGAACCAAGAATAAAAATTCTGTATATTAAAAAAGCACATATAAACACATAGAAGTACCGTATTCAATCTAGAAGTATTATGAAAGTTTGGAACTACTCTATTGATATTGTTGGAATCAGCCAAACGAGAGCACGCATCCAAAGGGACGACCAACGTGGAGCTGGAGTGATGAATGAGATCAGTTCATGTGCAAGGAGTGAGAAGGGTGGCAGCAGCACTTGACTGTGAGGGATGGCCATTGGGGGCCTTCATCCAGCAGTGGATAGACAGTGGCTCACGGTGATGATCAGAGTCTTTATTTAAAGTGGAAGAATCCGATGAGCTATAACGCATATTTTTCACGGGATGTCAAGTTGGGGCGGGTCACAAAGTTAAAACGAACAAGACGATACAATAACACTACAGGAGTGAAAAGATGAATGTGGTTCGCATCACTCGGTAACTTTAAGTGCATACCTGTTCATCCATACGGTTTACCCCGTATTCTTGTACAGGGAAATTTAGTTGTCAGGTCCATACGGCGTACAGCCGTTTCAATACGGGTAAAAGCTTTTCTTTGTCTATTTGTTCGCGTTTCTCCCTTATGATAGGACTTTGTAGGATGAACGTTGAGATTTATAAGGGCACGGGGGTGACCAATAAGGTCGGAATTGGTCTGTAATAAAGGTAGGCACTGACAAGGGGTTGACAGGTATGTAAAGTGGGTAATGTCATGGCCAGTAGGAATAACAGGTGGGGGGACGATGGGGAGAGGGGTCAGCTTCCCACCGCCCCCCCCCCCAACCTTTGACAGAGAGGTAAGCTATCTGCTGCTCTCCTATGGCTGGCTACTCCATGAGCTCCCATGGCTACTTGTCCCCCCTCCCTCCCCCCGACTCTAATAAACAACAAACCAGGTTTAACCAATGATTGGAAAATACTGCGTTGGCAGCAGTGCACAAGCAACATTGACAAAGCAACAACATAGCTCACAATTCGTCAATTAAACTATCTTCAGGTTCTATACAGTATAACAGGCGACGTTTCGGGCAATGGCCCGATTTGCGTGTCAGGAAGAAGAAACGCCATTGCCATGAAGAAGGGCCATTCCGCCAATTTTATATATTTCATATTAAGGTCACAACAGTGTTATTAATGAACGTGTTGAGATTCAACTTAAACCGCTTAATCCAGGGGCAAGGCACCACACTCGGTTCAACGAACAGTGAACATACATTACTGTACAGTAGTATAAGAGGATATGGCAGTATAACTAAGGTCATAACGCATAAACAGGACACTCATAAAGAAGTCAAAGGGGGTGTTTGCTCATCTCCGTCCTGAGCCAGTGCTGGAAATTCCAAGTTCATATGACGGGAGACGAACTATTCACCAGATCTTGTAAGATCTCAGAAGCTAATCAGGTTCGAACCTTGGATAGTGCTCAGATGACCGTAGAGAAACAGGTCTTATAGGCTACTAACTACCACACTAACTAGTACACTAACTAGTACACTACTACACTAACTACTACACTAACTACCACTCACTCGTAGAGAAACAGGTCTTATAGGCTACTAACTAGTACATTAACTAGTACACTAAGTAGTACACTACTACACTAACTACTACACTAACTACTACACTAACTACTACACTACCACTCACTCGTAGAGAAACAGGTCTTATAGGCTACTAACTACTACACTAACTACCACTCACTAGTAGAGAAACAGGTCTTATAGGCTACCGTGGAAGGACTCTGTTGACCCTGGCTGGGACAAGGACTCAAATCGTTACGATATTTAAGCGTCATGGGTGACTCACTCAGCACAGTATATATAAATAAAACACATGCATGTAACATGTCAGGTCATCCAACAGTGGCTTTGCCATTGATGTTTATTATAATATCAGTTTCTTACATCAGTGCACCATTTGACATGTGATTTTACGCTCTTGCTTAATTTATGGTATAAATACCGATTTAAAAAAAAAGCAGGTTCATTCCAGGCTGTAACTATCGTATTGGAGAACTGCCCCTAATCCGCTACCCTATTACCCGCAACTCCTGTTATCTGCGAAAGCCATAGGACCGTCGAAAAACGCGTTGTAGCCATCGCCCTTGTACTCCCATTACAAGTATCTACTGCTAAGAATATGAATAAGTATCTACGACTATCCGTATTTTTTTCACCATGGATGCGTCGATCAACTTCGCGGATAAACCCGTGCGCTAAAGGATTCGCAATATTTGTTCCCCAACTCACCACAAATAAGAGGAGTTATGTACATCTCTCACATCCAGGCATGGTGGTGCACATATGTCAATCTTGTGCATTTAAGGTTAGGGTTGGTGGACCACGTATAGATCTGTGAAACTCAAAACTCGCTGGGTTGAAATATTAAACAAAAAAATACATTTTACCAGGTAAAGCCCACTGAGCTATACTGTATAGCTCTTGTTCAGAAACGACCTACGAAGTAGCGTATCATGCGGAAATGTATAGCAGTCAAATATTCTAAACGCATGTTAATTCTAAACGTGGAGGGGGGAAAAAAAACGGAGAACATGGAGAAAAATCCACGCGACCATGGGTGGCGAGACATGCAAACTCTCAACATACATGCGTCAGGGTCGGGATCGAACCCACGTCCTCCTGCAAATCAGGCGAGGTAGTTAACATCTCGCCACCGTGGTGCCAAAATATGGCCAGCCATCTGGCAGCACAGCAAGTGGGTTATTGAACCCGGACTGTGTGGCGCTTTGAGTCTTCACCCTAGCATGCGCGACGGTAGTGTTCTCCAATGCAGCTACAGTACACATACGCAGGTGTCCTCAGAGAGCAAGGCAATGTGAACCAACATCGAGCTTGTGAGCGCAGGTGAATGGACCGTAATTGCCTACCCTCCATTAAACACCAGCAGCGAGGTAGAATGCGCGCTTACCCCATTCAGCAACTGAATGAGCTCCCAGTACCGTGGCGTGAAACGTCGGACATTGTGGCGAGCAACAACCCGCGAAACACACGTCGGAGAGCGAGCACAGTTTGAAAACAAAAAAAGTAATCCTACAAAGATCCAATTTCAGGAACTATTCTGACGTTTAAGAGCTCGTTTGGTCTTGGGCAGTGCTTAATTTCAGCAGGAACTGGGGTTATTTTGGCACGGCAACAATCCGTGTCGCCTTATCTTGTCCTCATTCTAATCTATATTCCTGTAAACATATGCATAGGGCTATCGAAATATAAAGTGCCATAATACAGGGTGCCTGTGTTATGGACGAGGCGTGCGGTCAACTCTAGTGGTACAGGAGCGCCTCACTCAAGATAACCAAGCCCTACTTGCCACCGACCGATATATTAAAGCGTTAATATACATAAAAATACACAAATATCCCAACACACATAGGAAACTGCATTGTGAAGTGTGATCAATGCCTTGACCGCGCGGTCTCGCTCAGCAGCGAGTCTGTTCCGTGCACACACACGAACAAAACAATACGCTGTGGCACACACACACACAGACACAATTACCTCCATCCTCTCGCCCAGCTCGGCCTGCTGGATCTCCTTGGTCCTGCGAAGTTCTTGGTTGCTCTCTAGCAGAGCCTTTCCCAGCTCGGCAGCCATCACCAGCTCCGAGTCCTTCTGGCGGAGCAGCTCAAGGAGTTCCTGCTCGCTGCAGTCGCCCTTCTGATCCTCCTGCTGCTGCTGATGGTGGTGGTGATATTGCGCATCTACCACTTCGTCTCGCCGCGGAGGAGCCGTGGTCTCAGCCATCTCGGCTTCGGCGGTGGAGTTTATTTAGCAAGCCGGATGAGTTTACACCTACCCAGCTACTATAGAGAGCGGCGGTGACTACGCGTGCGTGCACCGGCTACACCTACCCACCTATCACTACCTGCCTTTGTCGTTCCCGGCACACGTGCCTTCACTTTGCCCCGAAGCTCTTCACGCTTTCAATGCGCTTCCAATAACGCGAGCACACATGCGCGTGTGCGCAGGCTTAACGTTGAAAGCCAAAAGATATATTGTTTGTGTTTTTTTCTTGAAACCTCCAAAACTCTACGAACCGCCACCGAAAAATCGGCGCCGTGTTCACGCAGCAAATCCTGTGTTCGACTTACGAGCTGCGAAACAACCAGCAAATCCGGACGCGTCTGCTGCTGCTGCTGCTACGACTCACTCCTTCCTCCTCCTCCTACCCAGTTGTCGAATAACTAATGAATGAATGATACGCGGACCAAGACAGAGAGAGAGGCTGGAGAAGGAGGACCCGGACACCACCCGGGGGAGGAGGATGATGATGATGAGTTTGTTGCTGCTGCTGTTGGAAGACCGCGGATCATTTGGCGTGACAAGTTCAGCTCGCACCGTAGGCGGTAGCTGGGCAATGATTGCGCAGAGCCGAGCACGTCACGATCCCACCAGCCCCGGCTGATAAGGTGGTGGGAGGGGGGGCGGGAACTTGTTCCGCGTGAATAATTACTGCTGCTGCTCCGACTGCGAGTATTACTCCTATACTAATAACCACGACAGTACCAAGGCTGTGCGATGCCTACAAATCCCTTTTAACGTCTTTGGGGGACGAAATAAAACGAACAGACATACGGGGACACAGCTACGAAGGCAGCTTTGGGGTTACGTATCGAGCCGCGCTCGTTACAATTCTCTGCTTGTGTTCTTCGTGGTTTGTCTTGTTTATAATATGCAAAAAAGTAATCAAATGATGACGCGCGGCTGCGCGAATGTCATCTCTCTCTCTCGCCTCTTCCACTGGGGGAGGTGAACGCTGTCGGAAACGTTCCTTGCGTGTCGCGGGCGTCAAAACGCACGCCACGTGCTGTCCACAACCCCGAACCCGGCCCTTGGAGCCACTGCCAGAGCCCTCTCTCTTCCACGCACACAAAGAACCCCCTCCGCACTCATCCCCGTATAGCTTTAAGCGAGACTGTTGGGCCAAGTGCTGTTAGCGAGGAGCACCTGTGAATGCCGGCTCGATACGTGAGAGGGGGTGGTGGGAGACCAGCACCACGCCCGGCCTGCTCTTGTCTCCCCGCTCCTGATGTGTACCGCGCTAGCAGGTACTCATTTGTGGCTGAGTCGACCTAGGGGGCAGGGGAGGCACAGGGACCGGCTGCAGATTGTTCGTCGTCGTGAGCGGGAATCGAACTGTGCTCGTCGGGGTTCGGGGCGCAGCGCGCTAACCACTGCGCCACCGCTCCCCATACACCAACCCCCCCCCCCGTCACCCGTCAGTGACACAGGGCACCACAACACAGCTTGTCTGTCCCTCGGCCACTGGCGTCACATCCCGGACCCCCCCCCCCCCACACCTTGTGGGGCCGTACATAAATGACGTCACGCGATTTTGGACGATTTTTGACCCCCCCCCCTCCCCCTCGTCACACGGCGTCACAAAAAGTCAGACCCCCCCTCAAATATGACGTCACAAAGCTCTGCCCCCCCCAAAAAAAACATTTACATTTTGAAAATAAAACATGCTTCAAATCGCTTTAAACTATTGTCATTGTAGTGCATGTTTAATGTGGCGCTGCACTCTGATATTGTAGGAGAAAACATTTATTAAAAAGTCTATTTCATTAAATAGAACGTGTTGTCCATATTTATTTAAAGTTGCGCATTTTGATGTGACGTCACGTTTCTCAAACACCTCCCCCCCCCCGTCATCACATCGTCACAAATGTCTGACTCCTCCTCCCCCCCCTAGGTGCGTGACGTCATTCATGGACGGCCCCCTTTGATTGGACCATGGCAAAGCACCCGAGCCCAGGTGTCTGGGATCAACAACTCCCCCACCTCCTGGGGTGCCTCGCGTGCAATGTTCAGTCGTTTTGTTATGGCAACGACTTCGCCCCGTGTTGTCTGTGCACGTGGGGGGAGCGGTGGTGGCGCGGTGGTTCGCACCCTGCGCAAAACAAACTAAAAAACCGGCGACCCCACTTTCGCTCACGACCAATATTAGTCGCGAATATTTGAAGCGGTCTTGGTGCCTCCCCTAGGTCGACTCAGCCTCAAATGGGTACCTGGTGCGGTGTATAAACATCGCCACTGTGGAAACAAAGGCGGTCGGGCGTGGTGTTGGCCACCAAACCCCCTCGTGTACCGTTACGGCCTTCATAGGTGCTCGCTAACAGCACTTGCCCCTACAGTCTGTTAAGGCTATACGGGGTTATCTGTTTTTGTGTTGTGGGGAGCGGTGGTGCAGTGGTTTGCACACCGCTAATAATCCGAGTTCAAACTTGACCAGGTGCTTTCGTGACTGCAGGAATTACTCTTTGGTTTTTTTCGGTAAAGTCACGTAGAAATAATAAAAAAATAAAATTATATAATAGCGTACGACGTTTCGATTGCAACACAAGCAATCATCATCAGGTACAGAAGAGCTGAATTTAAGAGAGAGAGGAAACACAACCGCAGTTCAATTTCGCAGCGAATATTTGAACCGGTTCTGGGCCTCCCCTACATCGACTCAGCCTCTAAGTAGATGAGTACCTGGTGCTGTTTAAATATCAGCAGTGGGGAGACAAAGACGGCCGGGCGTGGTGTTGCCCACCAAATCTATCATGTGTAGTGCTGGCCTTCATACGTGCTCGCCAACAGCTGTTCATACCTGTCAACCCCTTATCAGTGCTTATCTTATTACAGAACAATTCAGACCTTATTGGTCACCCCGTGTCCTTATAAATCTTAACGTTCATCCTACGAAGTCCTATCATAAGGGAGAAATGCGAACAAATAGACAAAAAAACATGTTTTGCCCGTATTGAAACGACTGTACGCCTTATGGACCTGAAAACTAAATTTCCCTGCAAAAGAACACGTGGTAAACCGTATGGGTTGACAGGTATATATATGGCTTTCGATTTAAAGCTTTCGTGACTGCAAGGATTCATCTTCTTTGGTTCTTTCGGTAAAGTCGCGTAGAATGAGAATAAAATAAGACGGCCGCTTGCATTGTGGCCGAAACGTCGTGAGAATTTTATTGTGTTATTTTATTATTTTATTCTCATTCTACGTGACTTTACCGAAATAACCAAAGAAGAGGTATATGGCTGTTTCCTCCAACAATCTGTTCAGGTCATACAGGGGGTCTTCATGGTGTGCGTGTGTGTGTGTCTGTGGGCGTGTCTGCAGGTAGGTAAGGTCTAAAGGTTTTGAGAACAAGGCACTAAAAATAGTTGCTCAAGACGCAAATTGAAATGGCGAAGGTGACCTATGTTGAAATCACACCTCCTTTATGAACTTACCCGAAAGAAAACGGCGTGTCAACTGACGCTACAGGTGATATTGCGCGCGGTGTGTCTATAAAAAGAGGCTTCTAAAAATAGAAGAATGTGCGCACTTGCGTTTGACTGATTTTAAAGTTTGCCGGTTCTCCCAGTATCGAAACAAGTCTTTACAAAACGCACGTTAACCCAGCTTATGCTGTGCGCGTATCAACCAACGCAGTACTGTGACCCCGATTACCTGTAAAACAAAAAAACCCTCACTGAGTTTCAAAGCTCTTCTTGAGAAGGGTTCCTAGCTACATTGGGAAGTTTGGCCAACATCCATTAAATCAGCGATCGGGCTGCCCGTGAGAGGAAACAAGTTGAAGCCCCACCATGCACACATACGGAGGTGGTGGGAAATGTGGGGGGTGGATAACACTGCCCTCTCGTGTCCTCGTCACCTCGCAGCTTGGCCCCATCTATGTTTTGTTCTTCTCTTGCTCTATGATATTTTTCTAACCCCCTTGCTTGCACGTAGGGCTGTGGGCGTATAAAGCGCATAATGAACTTCGCACACGTCCCTTGCTGAGTGTAGAGATTCGAGGATGAACTCACAGGACTTTTGTACCCTGTTTATAACGATGGTGTTGTGAGTCTGTGCACCCAATCTCCAACGTCTGTTGAAGTTCGTTCTTGTCTCAACAGATCCGGGTTACCGTGCATCGTCACTCTCACGTTATGTACACGCGCTGTATGGAAAGTTACCAGTGCACTAAAATTGTGCTTAAAAAGCTATTTACTCAGTTTAACACGTAGGCTTTCGCGACCAATATCATCCATAATACTGTACAGTTTTTTTGGGGGGTTGGATCGCGCAAATATATAAATGTGTCGTTCAACCCGCCACCACCCGACACAGCCAGTAATGTTCGTCACGTAAACAGAGCGTGGCCATTTCGCTACTTGTAAAGCACACCGGTGTGTTGGAGAGCAAAGCCACAACATTTACAATCTGAGTACGACGTTTCGCCAGTAATTACATCTAGCTTCATCAGGCGACAGCCAGATTTGTGAAAAAGTCCTCCTGTTTCGTTCCTTAAATAGAGGGGTATAAGTGAGGGGTAGCTATTTACTGTATGGTGGATGAGAAATCCCGATACTCCATTTTCTCGTTGAGTCCATTGGATATTTCCTTTAAGACGGGGGTATGTATGTGTGCTTTTTTGTCTCAATGTAATTTCCAAGCATTCACCTTTTCCATGCATCTACGCTACTTCTCTTGCCTCTCTCTATGTGCTGCGAAGGTTCATTGCCCGAAACGTTGCATGTTATATATTTGTTTTCTATTTAAGGCAGGGGTATTGACGAATGTCTTGAGTTTTATTTGGACACTTATCAAGTTTTCCTTCCACCTACTTCGTCGACGTCCGTGAATACGTGGGTAGGAGAACACATGCAAGCTAGAGACATCATGTAGACTCACACACACCGGTGGGCTAAAGTAGTGAACTATTTGTCTTTTGTCAACGTGACACTTTTTTACTGATTGACCGTGTCGGGTGGTGGAGGGTTACGACACATTTATAAAATAACGCGATCTAACCCAAATAACGTTTATTATGAATAATATTGGTCGTGAAAGCATACTACGTGTTAAACTGATCACGTAGACTGTTAAGAAAAAAAATAGTTGGCCTTGGTTGGGCAGGACACCTCGTTGGAAGGGATAACGGCCGATGGTCAGAACGAGCGTCGGAGAGTGGCTGCCAAAGGAGATAAGGCAAGCGAGAGGGTACGTCCACTGCAGAGAATGATGACGCAATTGATTCAGATGGTGTGCAGGTGAGAGATGAATTGCCACATTGCGGGACTGTGGTGTACGGTGAGGGTTTGAGGAGGTCTTCATTCACGAGTTGATTGATCGTGGCCGCTGCGGCTGCTGTTACGCACTTCCCGACGACCACTAAACATTAAGGGAATTGCGACCACACTAAAATATGGGACGTGCAACCAAGCACTTTGCAAGACGATAGCTGCATCTCATTGCGCTATATCTTTACGAGTTTCAGCAACTCGTTTAAAAAATGACATTTGTAAAATTTAGATTTAAAGCTTTCGTGACCGCAAAGATTCATATTCTTGGTTCTTTCGGTAAAGTCACGTAGAAGGGAAACAAAATAATAAAAATAATAAACAATAAAATTCTCACGACGTTTCGACTGCAACACAAGCAATCATCATTAGGTGTGAAAATCACAACAAGAAAATTTGAAAAAAGTGGCGTTTTCTTTTTAACGAGAGTGGCTGCAGTTAAAAAAAACCGCCACTTTTTTCATATTTTCTTGCTGTGGTTTTCACACCTGATGATGATTGCTTGTGTTGCAGTCGAAACGTCGTGAGAATTTAATTGTTTTATATATATTTTTATTATTTTATTGTTTCCCTTCGACGTGACTTTACCGAAAGAACCAAGAATATAATGACATTTGTGTTTAATATATAGCACGATGATGTCCATCGCAACCCGGTTTTTAAAGTCTTTGCTGCAGGCGTTCGTCATTATTAGAAAATGACGTCGCAATTTCTGTCAGTTAATCGGGTAATCGGTGGAAATGTCATTGCGTAATCCGGAATGACCAGCCGAACCGCATTTGGAGGACCTCACTAGGAGTGAACAGAATAGGTAAAAGCAGACAATGTCTCCTTCATATATATGTCTCTCCACATGAAAAATAAAAGTATATTTTTTTTACACAGCCCAACAGCAGCAAGACCTTGTGGGAGTGCATTATTTCAGCAGTATTGATGCAAATACCGTCGAGGCAAAACTCTGGACTGGTTTTGAGTTACAACAGTCAGGCTCGCTTGAATCAATGCTGGTGAACCGCCA